CAACAAACATCGATATACTAGTTCGAATAATAAATTGGACTGAATTTCATATTGAAATATTATTATAGTTATTATATAGTTAGATACTTTAATCCTAATTAAAATTTCTATTTTTTGTTCTCCAATGTACACCGTTCGAAAATTCAGAATTTTGACAACTCAAATCCAAGTTTTCCGCAATGCACCAATTTTTATCAAGAATAAAATTTTCTGACGAATAGATAATAAGAAAGTTTCACATATAGTGAAAACTTTTTGAAACTCACTGTAGATTGTTGCTTGAAGTGAAAACCACGTCTTTTTTCATGTAACATTTTAACGTGATTCTACTGCGATTTTTCTAAAGCTTTCTAATTTGTCAAGCATATAATAATGACTTTCGTTCAATATGATAATACTACTGAGGAAACAATCCTAAGGATTCAAGAAAGTATCACAGATATAAATTCAATCATCAGGTCGCCAACAAAAAAGTTAAACTGGAGTCTTGTGGGTGTAGTTCCCCAGAGACCCGTTTTGGGACCTATCCCATTCTTACTATCTTTAGGAAAAGAAGAGAGGCATTGAAAAAGATATGGAGGGTAGCTGTTGCTACAAGGGGTGAATTTTATATCAAAATTAGACCACCTCAATCAAAACATTTAGGTGTTCATTGAAACTTTATCACGTCAGTTTCTGAGATATGAAGGATTCAGTTTTTGTTCGAACGCCTTACATATCAACGTGAAGGAGAAACTGAACTAATCTTTTCTCTAGGAAAAAACATACAAGTGTTAGCAAACTCGAAGCACCAGGCTTCTGTATCGTTCCGTCTAGTGGCACCGTGGAACCAAACGAAACGATTCAAATCACTGTCGAAAGCAATCCCCAAAAGCAGAAGCAATACGAGGAAACGGTAGTAATTTTCGTGTCCGAGCCTCAGAAAGAAGATGTCAACGGTAGACGAATTACTTTGCACGTAGAAGGTTCAGAGCCTAGTTTGAATTTCGGCGACGTCCAAAAACTATTCAAGGAACACTTCATAGTTGAAGATTTAGAGCAGTTCAAATGTCCCGAGAATGTAAAATATCAATACACTTTAGATACTGAATTAATGACGTACTGTGTTTCAGATCGCAGGCCATTGTATATTTGTGAAATCTGAAAACGCGCTCTATTTCCGAAATGTGTGCATTAATGAAAAATATAAAACGAGAGTTTATCTGCAGAATCTAGGACAAGTTATAGCCAATGTTTCGGCCAAAGTAATGGAAACCAAGAGCAGTTTTTCTGTATCTCCGGATTCCTTTAGTATCGAACCTTATACCTCAGAATCTGTTGCGATCAGTTTCCAACCGGATTCTATAAATGTTAGTATAGTTGTGAATATTATAGGTCACCCAGTTGTTACTACCTGCCTTTTTCGATTATCAATATGTTCGTTTAATAATAATAATATTTATTCAGTTGGATCATCTATAGATGACATTCAATATGCCAAAACGTGTACATATACCAAATTAAAAACACAAACCCCGTGCACTTAGAGGCACAATATACAATTTACATATTGTTCTACAGCGCCATCTAGTGGCGAGTTATAGAAAAATTGATAGCCTAAAAACCTTCTCTATGAAAAATTACTCATACATGTCAAGTTTCATCACGATCGGTTGAGTGATGTAGAACAATGAAAGTATGCATGGTAGTACATTAATAAGAGTTACCTATTTACATTCCAGCGTAGTTGTTGAATACAATAAGATATTGAGGATATCTTTTTACAAATCGTATCAATATGCTTGTTCCATTTGAGATTTTCTGTTATCTTCAAACCCAAAAATGTTGTCTTCTTTTGTTGTTGAATTGATCCATTAATTGACGTTACTAGTAAACTTTGATCTGGAGTGATTCTTGAATGATTAAAACGTGAAAGCAAAGGTTTTCTTTCATTTAACAAGAGATCATTGTCTCAGAACCACTTCTGAGTTCTTTTTATTTCATCAGATGCTTTATTAACTGTGACTTTAATATTTTCCTGAGTTATCAATAAATATATGTAATCAGCATACATAACGAACTGATCACTATAAAAATCATTTACATATATTATATATAAGAGTGGACCTAATATAGAACCCTGAGGAACCCCGAGGGAACAATTTTTTCTGCTAACCTCTACATTGTGGTATATACCCTCTAAGTAACTTACAAACCATTTATGGGTTATTTCCCTGATTCCATAAATTTCAAGCTTTGTTTTGTGATCTACCAGATCAAATGCCTTACTTAAGTCTATGAAAATCCCTAAGCGTCTTTTCACCTTCATCTAACTCCCTGTACACGTTGTTGAGGAACTGTGTAATCGCTTGACTTGTGGACAATCCCTTGCGAAAACCAAACTGGTTCACATTAAATAGACCCCATTTATTAAAAACAGCTTATACCGAATACGAACACACTTGGAAAAGCTATTGCAAAACACGATTTTGTGAACTGTTTAGGGAGAATCTTTCAATAAACTGTTACTTGAATGCACCATGGATTTTCATCCAGTATCGGTAATTTCTATCAGATATGTTTATGGCGAGTATTTCAGTCAGTTTTCACTCATTTGGTTAAACCAATTATTATTTTTCAAGATATTCGAAAACAAACTGGAAGTAAGCTACAACGCCTCCACCGATAACAATTTTTCATTAACCCTATTTGGACAAAGCTGTGTTCCTCAAATACAACTACTGAAGCCCAAAGTAGACGAAAACAACCGATTCACTTTGAATTTTGATCCCACTTATATCGACCTCAACGCCAGTCGTGAAATAGAGATACAAAACGTCGGCCCCATTCCTTGTAAGGTTATCATGGATTTGTGCGGCAATGACAGAGAAACGTTCAGTCTGAGGCCATGCAGCGACAGCGCTGATCTATTGAATCTACATGGAATGAAAGGTAAGAAATTATTTTCTCATCAAATCCAATCGGTAGATAGTCTAATTGATCGTCGAAACCAAGATACATAAAAAAATCCTGATGTGATCACTGGGAGTTGAGGAAACCACTGTTTAGCAATGCCAAGGTTGCACTTCGATTTTCAATGTTATTCACAGTTGTGAAAGAACTTATATTAGATGATTTTCACATTACGATCCATAAATTAAAGAGCTGAATGTGTACAAAGTTGGACCAGTCTCGTTAGTCGCCCCGTCGAGAGTTTTTGACAGAACAATAACGAATCGATAAAACATCATATGCCATTTGATCAAAATATCTTTTCTGAAAATGCCTACCGCAGTTGTGGACGAAACGTCGCAACATGTCATAGTTTCAATTTAGGATAGGATAGGTTAGGGTAGGATAGGATAGGAAGGATAGGATAGGATAGGATGCGATGAGATGAGATAGGATAGCATAGGTTAGGATAGGATAGAACATAATAGGATAGGAAATGATATGATAGGATACGATACGATAGAATAGGATAGAATACGACATAATAGTATAAAAGGATATAATAGGATACGATAGAATGGGATAGAATAGAATATGATAGGATAGGATAGCACATGGTAGGTTGTGATAAGGATAGGATAGGACATAATAGATGGGATGGGATGGGACATACTAGGATGAGAAAGGATAGAACATGATATGATCGGATACGGTATGATACGATACGATACGATAGAATAGGATAGGATAGGATGGGACAGGATAGGAAAGGTCAGGATAGGATAGAGCAGGACAATATAGGACATCATAGAATAGAATAAATTAGGACATAATAGAATAGGACAAAATAGGATAGGAAAGGATAGCGATAGCACATGATAGATTACGATATGATATGATACGATTCGAAGGATAGAATAGGATAGGAAAGGACTGGATAGGGCAGGATAGGATGAGACATATTAGGAAAGGATAGGATACGATAGAATACAATAGGATAGGATAGGACTGAATAGGATTGAATTGGATAGGATAAGATGGGATAGGATAGGATATGATTGTATAGGATTGGATTGAATTGAATAGAATAGGATAGGAAAGGATGGGATAGTATAGTATAGTATTGAATAGTATAGTATAGGATAGGATAGGGTGGGATGGGATGGGATGGGATGGGATGGGATGGGATGGAATGGGATTGCGCAAAAACAAGGAACAGACTTCGAAACCTAACAATATCTGTGGATCATCTGTGGAGAATCATCTGCTTTTGGTGATTTTTGACGTGAACTAAATTTCGCAAACAAACGTCGAACAAGGCATTCATTAATACTATCATTGCCAAATGCCTGGTAGATTTTTCGGGCTGTTTCGGTTTCGCTTTGGTTCAATTGGAATTCGTAAAAAAAAATTGTCCAAAAACCGCTCAAGGACAAGTTATAAGCTGATAAGAGGCAAAAAAATAAAATTTCGATCAAAATGAACATCATCAATATATAGAGTACAAAATTCTCTATCGATCATGTTCCATGACGAAGTAGAATAAATTTTCATTGAGATATGGAACTATACACATACAATACACATGACATTGAAACGGAGAAAACTTCAGAAACAACCTAATTTAAAAAACTTATTTTCAGATTTCGAAGAAACCACCTCATCTACGATGGTTAATTTGCTTCCTTGCCAAAAAGCCAATTTCCATCTTATATTCTGGTCAAAATTGGAATTGGTCACAAACGTAAAATTGAAGATACATACTGTCAACAATCCTTTCGAGGTTATAAATGTGAGTAATCAGTTATTTATTGAAATACGAGTTAGTCAAATCAACATAAAATGACACTGTAGAAGTGAAAACAAAGAAATCCTAATTGGTTACACAAGGGAGAAAGGAAACAACAACAACATGTTCATTGTTCAATATATTTTGCGTAAATACCTAGAGTACACAGTAAATAGAGTAAATTACAGAACACCGGACAGCACTGTTTCGATCCGCCAAGGTTTCATCAGTGGTGCTAAGCTTAACCACTCATGTGTCGAACAATCCTGAAAGTGAAGGTGATGACTTCTTTCCTTACGACGACTCCATCTATAGATTCGACAGAAGACTCGATCCTTGAATATCGAATGCTTATAATTAGGGACTATAACTATCTGTATCTCTATATCTTTAGAGTAGGGAGGGTGAGTGTAGACTCACAGCACTTAGGCCACATGTGGCCCATTGCACATCCTCCCGAGGAGTTGTCCTCCTAGGTCGTCGTCCATCCTGTCCTTTCCAGGAAGGTGAACAGGTCACTAGCAGATAGCTCCTTTATATTGGCAGGTATATGCCAGGACTCGCCGAACACACACTCTCTTTGGCAACCTTGAGGTGTCTCACGGTGCCCCCGCGAAGATTTTGGAAGGTGCAGCGATATTACTGTCGTTGCGCGGCTTCTTCAATTCTTGGGGTTCCTTCCGTGGAGGTGCACAAGTGAGGGAGCTTTCCTGCAGGGGCAGCCGGTTCCTTGCCTTTATTCAAGGCGGAGCTCTTGGCGCCTGCCGCAGGAAGTGCCCTTGCTGTTGGAGGTGATCTGCTATGTCCAGCCTCATTCCGAGCGGTAGATTGGGTGGACATTTCTGTTCATCCCCAGCCACCGCCTTAGATTGAGGTGAGCACTTCTGTCCAGGCTCGGAATCGATTTTTGTTTATGTTGTTTCAATCATGTGTGTTCCCACGAGTATCAAGGGAAGAGTTGGTCACCTCTGGCAGAGCCCAACATTACCAGAGGTAGACTGATTACAATGAGGTTTCGCCCCAGCCAAGGGGCTCGTTCGTGACTGCATATTACCCTGCTGCGGCTATTCAGCTGTCGGCACGATTCCTTACACCTTAGCTTGGGTAGACGGTGGCATGTTTTGCAAAGGCTTTTGGGGGGTTTTAGTTCCCCTCACCTTACTTATTTCTGCCATTGACTGGGAGTCCGGTGACCCCGTCCGTAAGGCCACATTGGTTTCCTGGACAGGACCTCCAGTCCCCTAGCCGTTCCCCTATCCGCCACCTGGGGACGCGCCCGAGAGGTTACCCAACCCACGGGGGGGACTATAACTAATCACAATATAATATAATAGTGAAAAAACAATTAAATGCGGTCAGAAATAAATTCGATTTCAAAAATTTAATTCTAGACTAGTACACGTTAAAAGTGAATAGAAGGGTAATAGAAAAAACAAAATGGAATGAAATGGAATAGAATGAAATAAAATAGTAGAAACTGTGATGTATCAACTTTTCCGAAAATTTGTTTGTATTTCAGTTTGTAAAGGGTTGCCTCAGGGTTTTCTTGGAGGAGCGTCACTGCTACCAAAGAAGACACTAGTGATTGCAGTTAGTCTCTTCATTTTCAACTTGTACCTTCAATGTCAGTGGTAACCAACAGAATTGAGTAGCAGTCGCTGACAACCAGTTGGCCTTTCAATTCAATGTAATTTAATGTTGCCGTACATCTCAAACTTTGTGATCCAGCTAAAATCGTACTCATGAGCTTCTATGTGCTTCGTATTTTTTGGTATCAGTAAAAGAACCAAATGACGGGGAACTGTTATTCGATATGAGTGACAAATACACTTAAGTTCAACTCCACAAGATGGTAGCACGGTACAAATTACAACTGAAAAGAAAGCAAAAATGCATTGTCACAAGTTTTAGGCAATAATTTGTCATGTGGCATGATTAAGAAAATTTTGTTACTTTGTATGCATTCAATATCTTTTTTATATTTGTAGATTGATGTCAGAGGACAAGGCTACTATAACGACATCCATTTGGGAGCATTACCGACATTTTGTCATCATTCTTCGGTGGCGTATTTACTGGATTTTGGCTATACCACATTGAATCGATTGGAGAAGAAATGTTTCACTATCAAAAATAATTCCTCCAAAAATATATACAAATTCGAATTTACAAACCTTGGAAATCTTATGTTGGTACCTAGAGTTGGCCACTTGAAGCCTTATTCTTGTAAAGAGATAATCGCGAATATATCTACGAGGAAGCCGATTTGCTTAGATAAGGTAGGGAAATCAAAATTTCTATTTATTGCAGACATATTACTGTGAGATATTTTTTCTAATACTTTTTGGTCCTTCACTTTCTCATAATTATTTTTCATGAGTCGTTGCGATAAAACAATGAGGTTCAAAAGAACGAAAAATGAGTTGGGACCTCCTCCCGAAAAAAAGCAAATATGCATAAATGAAAATACTCTTACATATTTCACTCTGGGAAAATGACCTTTTTTATTTTTGGGATTTTTTCCTAACCTTCAAGAGACACTACTCTCAGTGAAAGTTAATATTACCTTGCTCCATTTTGAACCAGAGAAATCATCACTGTTTTGCATTATTCTTGATACTTCAGATCACTTAAAAAAGCTGCCTGTATTCGTATATACAGTGGGAGTGTGAAAGAGATCATGTTTGAGGAAAACAATAACATTCATTTCACTCGAAAGAAGAGCTTTCGATCCCTATGTAGAGCTACAGAAGTTTTGGATGAAAACACTAGTCTCCAAGTCTTTGTTAGCACTTTCTAGATATCTATTAACAATCTTTTCAATTGCTAACAAACTTTTTTTTCATATCAATTCCTACAAGTAGATTGAATGTTTAAATCTATGAATATGTGACAGGACTCACACGATAAAAGGTGAGATCTCGTTTATCCTTAACTCGAACAAATTTCGACTTATGAGTTGTCGTTCGTAAGATACCTTACCTTTTACGATTTTAAACAGATTTTTTTAACAGATCAAATTGGAATGTAAGTATATTCCTATCGAATATGTGAACACTGAATTAGAAGAGATATCTTGGGATGACAGGCAACAGTTCGACATGTGGGACAATACAGACGAAACTCAATATTTTCAGGAAGCTATAACTATTGCAAAAAGAGAAGTTCTGAGGTATGTTAAATATCTGAGGAGGTGTTCAGTTTGTATGAATAATTCAGGACTATTAGGCGTTGGACTGATTGAATTGCAGTTGTCTAATTTTTCAACTATACCGTCATTTCAAGATAGAGAACGACCCCTACAAAGTCCACGTTTGTTTTTAAATACGTTATCAGCGAGTAACATGGGACACAATTTCATCCCCAAAAAAATTAGTTCTCTATGCAAAAAATGCGAGGTCCAAAATGTCAGAAATTCGTCAATAAAAGTCAAATATTTGGCGTGTTTAACTACATGTTAAAAACTGATTTTCCGGTAAAGAATTGAACAAAAAAATCAGTTCTTACAACCATAGCCAACTGATAAGAAGAAGAATTTATAAAATTTATTACATTTTTTTTAATCCAGTACAAATAGTCATTCCAGATACGGCAACACTGGCAGTCTGACAATGATAGTAAGTACGCTTCCATTATAGCGATAATCGGGTCGTAATGATAGTGCCGTACGAATTGTCAAACTTGAAAATGCCTGAAAATTTACTGCCTCTTGAATTTCAATTATTTCACTTGGTTTAGATAGGTTATGTTAGGTTAGGTCCGAAGTGAGTGGGTCTATTCGACCCTCCACCGCAACCTGCAAGGGTTTATTGTGGCTCACACCTATTTACACTCGACCAAATAAACCCAGATTCTCAACGAAGCCGATTAGTTTGTATGGTGAGTGGTCTTCCAGGTCAGATGGTAAGAGTACGGCTCTGCTGAACTCTAAAAACCTGATTCGGTCCCCAGCGGGGCAGGCACAAAGTATATACTCTGCTGTTTCATCGTTAATGAGGTAGCCAGATAGTCGAAGTGCAAGATTCCCACCTTGATATCCACCACAACCTTCCCATATGAGGGTTTTTGCACGTCAGCTACACCTGATGATGCCTTAGATTCAACCGTTCAAGGCTCTTTCGCCTCTGCTTTTGGTGAATCATCACTTAAGCACAAACGTTTGCTAACCTGCTCATGGGGGGTTTGTTGCTTCACTTGAGATTCTGCGTACGCCGCTCAAGAATTTGATCCAAGGCGGTTTCATAAGATACCCTGCTTCTGAGGAGACGACTCGGTCGTTTCCTGGCTGCACCACCGAACCTTTTTTTAGGTTCAGTTATTGAATCAGAAGAGAGTTGAGAAGCTCTCGCTCCTGATCTAAATCTAGAGGGAGGTCAGATGGAGTCATAAGCTCGACATCCATCTCTTCTGTAGACTCGATCTAAGTTTACAGGGAGGTCAGTTGGAGTCGTAAGCTCGAAATCCATCTCCTCTGTAGACTCAGCGTCAAAAAAAATTTTTAGGTTCACTCTTTTCATAAAAATCCCACGAGTAACTAGGGAAAGAAGGTCAACCACGGCAGAGCCCCGCGTTACCGTGACAAGGTGATGCTACGACGAGAGGGCGCCCGGTATCTCGAAGATTCCGTAGAGACAGCTGATAGGCTGTCTTTCATCCTCTTGGCACGGATATACACACCTTTGGATTAAGCCATCGTTGGGATGCCATTCAGCTAGGAAATAACAGAACCACAAGTGATACTGTCATTCCCGTATTCATCGGGGCTACGTGGAAGCAGGCATCCGATGGCCGGTTTGCTCAACTCCCACATCCCAAGCCAATGCACTCGCCAAAAACAGCATACACAGTGGTTCAGGCAGTAAAAGATAAACAAGGTCAGCCAACCTGCCTGGTTCAGATAGAGTATGGTGTAATTTATATGAAACAATATTGAATATTACTGGAGTTTTATCCCAACACCAAACCGTAATTTTAACACCTCGACACGTATTTCGATTACCAAGCGAGGAACTTCAAGAGGAATATTGAACTGTTTAATCTTCCTCTTGAAGATGCGTTTGTAAACTAAGTATATCAAAATTGTTTGAGTTTGCTACGAAATGTATAAAAAACTATCGTTACCTACATATACATATTTTCTTTTTAAATAAATTTTACATTAGCAGACACACAATATTACTATCCGAATCGGAAGAAAACGTTGTAGACGCTCGCATGCGTTTAGTTCAAAGGCCACCACTGTATTGACTCGAAATAACGTCAGAGCCACGACAGAATAGTCTGCATACTCGCCGTCATGTCAGAGAGCATCACAACACACCACAACATAATGTAATTCCAGCTTAAGGACAGAGCCTACCACGCCGACGATCTGGGTTCCAATCTCATACCGATCTCTTTTTTTAATTCAACTTCTCTCAGCTGTCGATGACCACTAGGACCATATGACTGGTACGTGACAAAGGGGCTCAGGGTGAAGGCCTGACGGGTGAGGTGGAGTCTCAACAGGGGCTACGCTCTTTGAATATCTACGATACTCGTTCCATCCTGCATCGATTACATCACACGTTTCTCTCTCCCACTCACCAAAACACTACCTCGAGTTGGGTGTTCTAGAAGGTTCCGATCGGATACAAGGAAAATTTCCAAAAGTTCAGCTCCATAAGAAAATACATAGGATTTTGCGCTCGTAGTCTCTTTGTTCATCTACTGATTTGAATTTCCCGCTCTATGCGCGGTAGCTACTGATTGGTTGACTGTATGACGGCCAAATTGGATGAGTGTGAAGAACTGCGTCACACGTGTAACTTTCCCACTCACTCTCCGAAACACTTACCAATGACGAGACACGTGTAACCTTGAAGTGGGCAAGATACACATGTGACCTTGAAGTGGGCTTTGAAGGTCAAAGGTCGTAAAATCGCCAGAATGAAGCACCATAAGAAAATACATGGGATTTTGGACTGGAATTCTTTTTCGCCCCGAATCTTCGAAACAAAGCGCCCCATCAAAAACAATCCAAAGACAAAATATCCTCAGACTAGTCCAAGAAATAGTCCCTTAAATTTTTACTACGTGTTTAATAAACACCCTGTATATGTTGACAGTGGATAGTGTTGTTTCAAATGTTTTACAGAATCACCAAAAAAGTTTAGATCAGAATTGTTTGCCAGTCTTGGAACTCTTGACAGTGGACCGTATATAAATGTTTTGTATGGTGAAGATTTTCAGAAAAAGTAAACTCATCATCCCTAGTATCTTTTACTCAATCTTAAAACTGATACTACTCAGAAGCTCTGGATAGTCGATATCACCAGAGAAACGTTTGAACAAAAGTGTTAAGTCATTTCGAACAAGACGATTTTCTATTGAAGATAATTAAAGATTGGTTCTGATATCGGAAAAAGTATACTTCCCTATTTTACGATCCAATTTGAAGACGCTGGTAAGTAAGAAATTGTTTGGAACAGATTCAAGACATTGTCATTTCTAAGAATTGAACCAAGAAATCTGTAACATGAATGCACCACTCTGGATGTTTGGTTTTTGAAAGACAGTTCTCTATTCAAAAGAATGCCAAGATTTTTCATAACCTGATTTTGATTTAAGGACAAACAGATCATATTGTTATCAAACATAATGGGAAAATGAGAACGAGAAAAGAACATGGCAACACATTTGTGGATATTAAAGTCCGTGTCATTCGCCAGAAACCAATGAGATGTTTTGTTTAGGTCTTCTTGTGGAAAATAAGAATCAGTTTCAGATTCAAAAACGTGGTAAATTTGAAAATTATTTATCAGCAAAGAGTAAACATTTCGATCCTGATACTTCTTTCACAATGCTGTCCAATACTGTCCACTCAGGGACAGGTTGAAATTTAATTTAGATGATGATTATTTTATAAATGTTGACTTCAACGAAGAAAATACTTCGAACATTTTCTGTAGAGTCCTGATAGACAATAGGAATGAAGGAATAATTTTTCATTCGCATTTGCTGTATCTTCGTAGTCTGTGAACTGCAATGTAATCGACAACGAATGTCTAATAGTCCAAGATCATGATCATTTTGTGAATTTTTTTACTTCTTCAGACACAATTTTTTTCCAGGGCGAGTATTCCAGACACAAGTCGAAAAGATAAAACAAAATGCATCATGAATAGATTAGAACCCGACATTCAGTTTATGTCCAATGCTTGGGAAACTATTCCGATATTTTTCACTATAATTGCCGACTATGCAAATTACGAATGTACCGTCAGAGAGTTGATTTTTCCAGAGACCTACGTCAATCAAGTAAGTCAGGAATTTGAGTGGTGATTTCTTTGCTAATGCCTTTGAATCTTTCAGAAGAGCGAAGTCACTTTCCTAGTTACGAACCCTGGACCGGTACCGTTTCGCATTGATTGGATACTAAGTTGTGATGAGATAGTATTTCCCAAAAGAGTGTCTTCCGCCAATTTCAACGAAACGAAAGACACTCTCCTGGCACCAGGTAGGTACCGATGGGTGAAACTTCTCTCGTTAAATTAATGCGTAGAAATTTCTTTCATCGCCCCTCAGAACTGTGAAAATACCGATCTCAACGCATCGATAGCCATCTTGGTTTCGGTCAGGTTGGAGCCTGGCTCCCTTACCCTTTCAATTGGCGTTTGTCAGAAGGAGAAATTGGTCATAACTAATGATGGGATGGCAACATGAATTTCCTCCTACATCAGTGCCGCCCTTCACGGTGTACCCCTATCTGGCTGGGGTGTGATGGATGAAAAATTGTTCATCTGTTAACGGGGGACATGGGGGCCTCATTCGACAGAGTGTCGAGGCCTTCTATATCGGGGAAAGGGGTTGTCTACAGCGTAATCTATAGCTTCCCTAACAACCGATCGTGAGTTTCTGCGCAATCAAAAACTCGCTGATTCCTCGACAGAATGGACTTCCGAATGGAAGGCAGCTGCGAATCTCTGCGGATGGCTTAGTTCCTCACGAACCTCGGAGTGTTCACAATCATTCGTATTAGATTCTTTTGTAATCTCTCCAGAAGGGAGATATTAGACGGAACCGCTTGTCCCCAGACGCCTGAAACATACGTGATGACAGGCTTGAACATCGTGTGTAGATGGTAATTTTGTTTTTTAGAGTCATTTTAGATTTTCTACTGATCAGAGGGTACAGACTAGTTATCCGACCCTCGATCTTTGTTTTAACGGATACAATATGCGGGTTCCTGGTCTATTAGAATGCCGAGGTACTTTACCCGCGCTTGCCAGTTGATCTCTTTTCCAGAGACCCTCACTTTCCTAGCCGGAGAAGATATCGTTCTTCCTATGGTTAACGCCTGAGTCTTTTATGGGTTCACTCGGATCTTCCACACGAGGTCTAAAATAACGACGTGAACTTTACGATTGTGGTCAAGCTCTTGAATGGTGTTTTCGACCAGTCTCAAAGCCTGTAGCTCGGTGGAGTGATCCCTCCTGAATCCGAATTTTTCTTTAGGCAGAACATTTCAGTCCTCAACTTCTTCATTGAGCCTTTGTAAAACGACTCTTTCAGCCAGCTCAGCCGCCGACGAAAGCAGACTGATCGGGAGATAGTTCTGTGGGAACAGTAGGTTCTGACCCTGTTTCGGGAGCATGACGACGATCGCATGCTTCCACCTTCTGGTAAAGTATCTGAGAGCCAACGAACTGTTTATGATCTGTAGTAGACTTCCAACGCAGTTGTCCGGGAGCCCCTTCAACAATTTATTGGTGTTTTGAAACCAAGCTGACACTAACAGGAGATAATGTGTTAACGTACCGAAATTCGAAAATTTACCTGTCCAAGAATTGATAATGTAATTAGTTTACAAACTCTGCCTAGTTTGCTTTCACTACTAACTAATTAAATAAGGCACCTACTCCTTTTAACTCTGCAAACTTCTTCTAGCGATGCTCCCATCTCTGTAACCCGTCAAAATAGTAGGTACTCAGCATTTTTCTCTGCAAAATAATTGTTCACGAAGGTGATTGCCTCTTCGTTTGATGAAAATCTCTGTCCTCCGAGCTCAAGATTTAGATGAGGGAACAAAAACAATGCATGAATATCTACAGTAATTAATCGGTGCCAAAACTTGGAACTATTGCGCCTAAACTGCGCAAACAGAGCGTTGGAAATGTTCATTCGAACACGTTTTTGGTCCAACGTGAGCAAACGTGACACCCAACTCGTGGACAGTTTTCTCATGCCTAAATGTCGATTGAATATATGGCAAACACGCTCTTCTGGTATGTTAATAACCTCTGCTATCTCTCACTCTAATTTAGCGGTGGTCTAGCACCCTTTTGGTGAACTTTGGCGATGTTTTCGTCGGTAATTGCGGTTTTTGAACGTCCTGTATGATCATCGTCTTCCAAGCACTCACGGTCGCGTTTAAATTCAGCTGCCCGTAAATTCACTGTGGTACCTGAATGATGGTGCATAGTCCCCATACACTCATCTTTGATTTGCGTAGGAGTATTGTCTTTCAAAAACAAATATTTGATGACAGCTCGATACTCGATTCTGTCCATTTTCATAGAAACACTCACATCAACTCACTCAAACGACCGTTACATAATAACTTACGGCATCCGGAAAAATCAAAGGTAATCTGCCTGATGTAGTCCTTCTCGACCACCAGACCAAGACGATATTTTTCGTGAAGTTTTCAGCTTCTGGCGAGACGAATATCGTCCGAAAAGAGGAGAAAAAACGGATAAAACGTCGATATTTTCTCTTCGAACTCCGCAGACTCTATCCAGACCACTCTGTCAAGATGGTTTTTCTGTTTATGGAAGTCCCTGGTGGAATGATGCCTTCTCTACTCTCGAATCTTAAAATCATACCGGCTTGCCGCAATAAAGCAGAAATCTTAGCCGGACAAATGCAGAAGGCTATCATTCTTGGCTCACGGCGCTGGCTCACGGCACATGATCACTTACTCTATAGGAGTTTGTATCCCAAATCGTCCGTTCCACGGTTGTACTCTTCCGGACAACAGGGAGGCCATGGACTTTTGAGCTTGGAGTGTCTACATGACAGAATGATACTGGATGGAGCCTGTAAAGTCGTCAGGACCATAAGAGAGCAGGAATTAATGTTTGTTTGTTTACATATGTATAAGTTGACATGTTCGATACCATGTAGTTGATCCGTGAATGAATAAATTTCTTTCTTTCTTTCTTTCTTTCTTTCTTTCTTTCTTTCTTTCTTTCTTTCTTTCTTTCTTTCTTTCTTTCTTTCTTTCTTTCTCTCTTTCTTTCTTTCTTTCTTTCTATAATTAAGGATCATTCTTTAAAAAATCATGTTCCATTGCTCCCCAAACAAATATTTTTGAAAGTGTGAATTGATGTAGAAAATTCGGGAACATCCAGGAGATTGCTGTGACATCTGGTAGGTAAATGACCTTTTATACATTTCTTTATTGTGTGCAGGAAAATGGATCATATTTTTTCTCCGAAGATAAACGTTATGCACATCTGTCCTATATATAACTTTTCTAAGTATATAAATATTCAACACTTTTGAATTTCAATATTTCATAGTAAAAAGTGAGAGCGTGTAATTTGCGTCTGTTATACTGGGTAAGTCAACATGATTCCCTCGATCCATTGCTATCAGAATCCTGCACTGACACTTGTCGGATATAATCCAACGCCCTTCGTGGCATTATACCCAGGGGAATAGTTGTTTTTTGATAGGTGTCAGTCCCTTGACATACAGGGTAGGTGAGTCGAGACTGTCCTGAACAAATTGTTAATTTGATTTACAGCAAATCTTCAAGTATGCCCACTTAATGTATGTATCACAATTATTCCACTATCTATTACCATTGATTAAATTGACGAAAAAACTTTTTTTTTTAATTTCTCAGGCCGAAAAAAGTTGACATTTCAAGCAAAAATACTGACAGTATTTTCCGTGAACCTAATTTTCCCTTATATTTTCAGTTCCCTCTCTGGAAACGTCTGTGAGTTCCACAACGTTATTCAGCTCCGAGTCCTTCATGGGGGACAACCTTTTACCATTCGAAATATTTCCGAAACAAACCACTATACCGATCACACGGGCCCAGACGTTCCGTTTAGTTTTCACCCCCTTGGTGGCTTCGCAATACTATCTCAGGCTCATTTCCAATATTTCCGCGCTGGACCCCAACGTTCGGAATATGGACATTTCAGTGACGGCGGAAAGTCTTGTGCCGGAGTGTTACTTCGAAATCGACAAGCCGGAATATATTGGGAGGAGACCCAGTACCGGAATATATGGGAACCAGGGTGAAGAGAAGGTTGAAATAGTGGAATTGCTTTCCGTTGGAATTGGAGTAACTTCTGTCAAGTGAGTAATGAGTGATTTTTTGCTGGTATCTTTTTGGTAACACTGTTTTTGACAGATCACGCGTGAATCGTGTCTTGTGTCATTGTCAAACTTGTTCAGTTTTGTCTATAATTTAACATGAATCGACTTACGAATGAACAAAACTTGCACATAATTGAATTTTATTATTGAAATTCATGCTCGGTGAAGAAACTGCATCGTGCATTTTTCCCAATTTATGGGCAGTGAGGGAGCTATTCGGAAGCTTGTGACTAAATTTCGAACCCAGTTTACATTATTGGACATTAAACCACCAGCACGCATACGTAGAGTGAGGACCGAAGAAAATATAGAGGCTGTATCCGCCAGTGTTCGTGATGACCGTGAAATGTCGATTCGCCGCCGTTTGCACCAATTGGGCCTCTGTTACTCCACTACGTGGAAAAGTTTGCGGAAGGATTTGGGTGTGAAACCTCATTATTATTATTATGGTGTGCCAGAATTGAAGTCACACGACCTCTCACAATGTCTCACATTTGGTGAATGGGCGCTGGCAAAGTTGGAGAAAGATCCACATTCTTATCGAAAAATTGTGTTCAGCGACGAGGCAGAATGGATACGTTAACAAGCAAAATTGCCGCATCAGGAGTAAAGACCAGCCACAAGCATTGCAAGAGCTACGGATGCATGCCGAAAAAGTCACTGTTTGGTTTGGATTATGGGTCGGTGGCATCATCGGGCCGTACTTCTTCAAAGACGACAATGGCCGGAACGTTACTATGAATGTGGTAATTAACGACTTTTTGTTGCCCAAAATGAAAAAATTGGACATGCCTGACATGTGATTTCAATAAGACGGTGCCACATGCCACACGTCACGCAAAACAATGGCCCAATTAAGAGCCGCCTTCGGTGAACAGTTTACCTCACGTTTGGGGCCCGTCAATTGGCCGCCTAGATCGTGTGATTCAACGCCTTTGGATTATTTCTTGTGGGGTCATGTTATGGCTCATGTCTACATGGATAAACCAACGACTCATGCTTACTTATACATGAAATACCGGTCGATATCTTAGAGAGAGTGTGCCAAAATTGGACCTTCCGCATGGGCCATCTAAAGTGGAGCCGCGGACAACATTTGCATGAAATCATCTTCAAACAATTGATGGATGTAACCGTTACTATGTGGTAGGAGATCATAATGAAAAGAGAAATGATTTTTTTTATGTTTTTTACCACTTTTATTTGTAACTAACGTTACTGCAGTTTCGTCCTATACGGACATTCTCAAACTTATACAATAAACTCAGTTTATTGTATAAGTTTGAGAATGTCCACCACTTTTATTTGTAACTAACGTTACTGCAGTATCGTCCTATACGGACATTTTCATTTATTGTATAACTTTGAAAATGTCCGTATAGGACGAAACTGCAGTAACGTAGTTACAAATAAAAGTGGTAAAAAACAAAGAAATTTTCATTTCTCTTTTCATCATCTTCAAACATTAAATTATATTGATCGTTCTATAGATTCCAATGAAGATTTCATAAATGTTTTCAAATTTTTTGGGTTGTTTTGAAAATCAAATACTATACCTCTTAATAAATCAACCTTATTCCTACCTCCGATTACTTGGTCCTTATATCGACGAAATTTTAAATTGGAATGAAAGCCAAAATTATTCCCCAACTAGGTGTTTTGTACAAAGATAGGATGTAGGAGGTGTGATAAAAAAATAAGGTTGAATGTTCAAATGTGCAAAGTTTCAGCTGCTTTAGCATGTTTAGTTTGTTGGTGTTCGGCGATTTTCTGCTATCGAAAAAAAGCGATCAAAGAATTTGCGTCAAATGTTGTGTAAAAAATGGAATTCAGTGCTAAAAAATACTTGAAATTTTGACAGTGGCCTACGGTGACTGTACTCTGAGTCAGGAAAACGTTTACAAGTGGTACAAGCTATTCACAGAAGGTCGAGAGAATGTAAAGAATGATGTTCGCCTGGTCGCCCCGCCACATCAACAACCGATGAAAATGATGAGGAAGTGAAGAAAATTATTATGGAGAATCATCGAATCACTACTAGAGAAGTTACTGAGGATGTCAGCATATCGATTGGCTTATGCCATGCAATTTTTCTCAAGGACTAAATACAAGCACTATAAAAAAAAACTAAGGCGTTCTAAGAGCGGTGCCTGTGCGAAAGTAGTGATTCACGTTGGATTTGAACCGCTGAATATTAAATTCATGCGAAAAAACGTTCTCAGGAAGTTTTTTTCACGACAGCATTTCTCCAAATGAAAGTTTTTAAATAGTGAAGTTCGAAGTGTACAGAGTTGAACCTCAAAACGATGGGCAGCCACAGTCCGCGTGTATTTATTATATATACCGCTCTTGGTGGAATCAAATGGGCCAAGTCACTTGAACAATGTATATATAAAACAGAGACAATTCTCAACCTTTCTTCGATGTTCCAGATTATCATGGTTGCTAGTGATGTTCGTGTCTGCAATCAGGCGAATAACTCTTTCCTGGATGGTATCCAGGGAATGCTTAGGGGTGGAGCTCCATATATGTGACAAATACTCGAAGAAGGTCTGATCTGAGCTTCATAAAGTATCAAAAGTTGCTGAGGTTTGTACAGTCTTCTGGTTCGGAACAGTGTTCCAAGCTTTTGAGAAGCAGCCATTGCAATTCCAGCGACATGATTGTGCCAAGACATATTGGTGTCCATTTGAACCTCCAACAAACTTATCGAAACAGAAAGCGGAATTGTCTGTCCTTACATTATTTCATCCGGTTTCAAGACATTAGAGTTTTTTTTTCTTTCGTGTAATTCAATGTTAATATGAAAGTATCTGTTTCAAGAGGACTTTCTTTCAGTTTGTGTCTGAAAGTTACTTCTTTGCATGATCTACACATCCATGTATAGAGTTACTCATTTCCAAATTGATTACTTCCTTCCTTTCTTTGGAAGATTCCCTCATCCTTTTTTTGTATCAAGGTGGAGTAGTAGAAAGCCAAACTTTCTTTCCCAAAAAATAGTTATTGGTCTTTTTTACCTGCTTCAAATAATGATTTCACTTTGGAAATTTTATCATTATTATGTTTCAAACCTTGATCTGAAATGGGGGTACGAGTATCCCAGTTTTCGGGAATAGAAAACTTTTGTCCAATTCAACCGACCTTGTAGGTCTCACCCTTCCCAAGATAGCAATAGTGTAATCAGCTAAAAAACGCCCTGTATAATATACTCTCACTTTTTTATTGCAGAAAATTCTACGTCGTGAACACATCGGTTGGTCCATTGTCTTTCAAACTAGAATCCTTGAATGCAGACAACCGTTTCACGTACTTCCAATGCTTGACTCCGTCCGGCTGCATTCAGCCAGGAAAAAAATTCGACCTAATCTTCAACTTCACACCCCAAGAATTGGGAATTTTCGAAGAACGATTCGTATTCTCAGTCGATTTGAACGATTTTAATGCGCATATTTTCGTTGTCGGAAAATGCAGAGAACCCAATATTTACTTCACAAAAGCTCACATTGATATTAGCGCCACTTTATGGAAGAGGCAATCCGAAGAAACGGTTATTTTGAAGAACGAAGAAGAGATGGAGTTTGGTTTCAAGTTTCTCAAGTCTAGTTTCTACAGCGAAGATCACGAACAGCATTTAACGGTTTTGCCTGTATCCGAAATGGTTCCTCCGAAAAGTGAAGTTGCTATAAGGTCAGTGTTTTTCACAAGCTTTCATTTAACTTGCAATAATTGTACGAGTATGTTAGTTCGAGTCAAATTCTGCAATAGGAAGCAGTTGAGCTTCCTTAATTGTTATTAAGAATGAATCTTTGGACAAAACTTGTGAAATATAAATGTAAGTATAGAAATATAAAATGTGAATATAAAAACACCTACAAAAAAGTAGAGTTAAAACATACACCTATAGTTCAACGTCGAAATTTTGTATCAACATGTTTGTGTGCAGATTTGTTTAAAAATATAATACACATATAAACATATATACTTACATACAGTGTGTCTCACTTCTCATGGAAACACCCCCGTATCTTCCGTAATATTCGAGGTGGAACGATGAAACTCTCAGGACTGATGGAAATGCTTAAAATGCACCTACCACCTGAATGGGGTTGGCCAAAGTGACATACACTGTCCGCCACTCACGATGGAACACCCCATTATTACGGTAAAACATATTAGCGGGCAAAATAGGCTCAAAATTCCTTCAGATTCGTGATCAGGACTACCAACTTACCACGAATACACTTTTTTTCCTGAAAAAATTTCAGTCCTAAAAAATCCGAATTTGTCTCACTTCTTATGGAAACACCCCCGTATCTTCCGTAATATTCGAGGTGATACAAATAGTGGTAGTCCGACAATGAATATAGGTATCGATTTCATTATAGCGATAATCAGGTAATCAGGTCGTAATGAGAGAGTGCGGTAGGAATTGTCAAACTTGAAAACGCATGAAAACTCACTGCCCTCTTGAATTAAAATTATTTCACTTGGTTCAGATAGAGTATGGTGTTATTTATATGAAACAATATTGAATGTTAATCGAGTTTTATCCCGACACCAAACCGTTATTTTAACACCTCGACACGTGTTTCGATCACCAAATGATTAAACTGTTCAATCTTCCTCTTGAAGATAATCACTTGGTGATCGAAACAAGTGTTGAGGTGTTAAAATAACGGTTAGGTGTTGGGATAAGACTTCAGTACCATTCATTACTACACCAAAGGTTCCAAACAGTGTATCATCTGAGACAATATTTTTCAATTGAATCATTTCCATTTTGTAAACTGATTATATCAAATTTTTTTTATAGTGCGTCCGATATAACCCCGGTTTTGGGGGAATATCGGACGATTCCATTTTTACATTGAAAAAGAACGCGTTGAACCTGGTACCCGGTATAGGTTAGGTTAAAAACCATCATCGGACACTTAAAAAAAATTGACCGTGTATAGGGTTCAGGATACAGGGTGATGTAGTAAAAATAAAAGTAAAAATCGATATAATGGAAATAAACGTCTTTATTCATAAAAGAAAATCTTGTAGGAACGTCAAAAAATAAAACAGAAAAACTTCAAACATTAGATAAAAAACGAAAAATAACATTCTGAAAACGTAAGTAGATAGGTATACCTACTTGATCCCTTAACTCTGTAACTGCAGACCTACAAACACAAAAATACCGCGATGGATTTTAGGTGCAGTTAAAACACTGTGGATCTGTTCAAGTTTGATCTTGATCTTGTCTTCAACGTCCGGAAAAACAAAGGAATCTTTGTGACCCTTATAGGATCTGAGGCAATTCACATCAATATACCTTTTTGCAATATTTTAATTTGCGCAACGAATTCTTTGGTCGTTTCTTTCTTGGTCCCTTCATTGTACAAAAACTTA